CTCTCTTCCTCTTCCACCTTTTCCAATTATCCTGGATAATTGAGAGTTGGCTGTGCTGAAAAGTCAGATGATTAAGATTTTTATAAACTGCCTGCAGGTAACTTTGAATACTTTGTTTTTTTCTGTGTCTAGTTTAATTGAACAGTTTAATTGAACTGTGAAGTTATCCCAAAATGTTAAAAATACAATTCTGTTTCTAAAAGCTTTCAATTACACTGGTTTAACTGCAAAAAGTAAATAGAATTATGGATTTCGTTCCTCTTCTGGCACTTGGACTTGATTTTTTGTAATTTTTCTTATTAAGCAGCCAAGAGGATGACTTTTTTGCTTTAAAGTTTGACTGCTCATTGAAAGCAGACAAAATAAGGATACAACAAAACCAGCAACTAAGGGTGAAGGTTAAATCCTCTGAACCACACTGCTCACATTAGGTTCCACCTGCAGCATGACCATGAGGCAAGAACAATCCTTGTGCTTAGCCTTTCAAAAGGTATGCTGTGCATACCCATCACTCATCCTGCTGCCAAGATCTTTGCTGTGTGCATTCAAGATATAGCAAACAATTTCTGAGTATTATTCTGTGAGGGGGAAACTATGTGGATAAAACAGATTTCTGATGTGCATGAGGATAACTAATTTTCTTTTGGCAAGTTTCAAGTATGGTATTTAAAAGCAAGCCAGTAGCATTCCAAACATTCTGAACGCTTCCCTAAACATACTGTGAAGAATCCAGGTTGAAGACCTGTTTTCCAGCAACAGTGACACAGGACATAGCTATGCCAGGCATCTTGAGCAACTGGAGAGCCTCAGACTGTCCCGTCCACCCCCCTGACATCCTATATCCTTGGTGCACCAGAACTACCCAAATCTGGTTCTCTTTCATGTCCTGAGCATATGACTTTCCAAAGAACACTTTTCCATGGGGACCTAGGAGTCCTGCTGTGACAAAATGGGGAAAAAAATCAGAAAATTGGTCATAATCCTGGGAAAATGTACGCATGCTTACGAAGGGATCTTGGATCAAGGGATATGAGTTGGCAGCTCCTGAAGGTCTACAAGATAAATGGCAGAGGTCCCCAAACAGCTTAGCTTAGAAAGACCTCCTGCCATATGCGAGTGTGTCACCTTTGGAAACAGCGAGCAGAAAGTCTGGCCTGCGTGGTTTCAGTGGAAGCTGATGCCTGCTTCAGGGAGTTCACATAGAAGTTGTGTGAGCAGGGCTGGCCGTGCAGCGAGGGGGACTAATGCTGAAGCATTACTGGGAAGGTTGCTTGATGACAAGACTTCAAGAAAAGAAAGAGCTGGGGATGGCTGTAACCCGGGAGCAATGAATACTTTTTCCCTTGTTGATAGCATTCCCTGAGCGGTTGTGACTATTGATTTTGTGGCCATAGAGGGCATTTTATTTTCTTATCTTTATTTAGTAGGTGTCTTTCAAAGCGCACATTAAAAAGAAAGCAAAAAAAAAAAAAAAAAAAAAAAAAAAACCAAAAAAAACCAAAACCCTCTATTGACTGACATACTGTTAACAGAACATACTGTTAACAGAGAAGAATCTCTTCTCCCCTCCTTACTGTATTTATGGGAACTGCTGGCTGTACTAAATATTATCTTTGAAAACATCTCTGTTTAAACTTAATGCTCCCATAACCCTTCAGCCAGGCTGTGGCATGTGAAACGGGTCTGAAGTGTCCTCGCTCTGTATACTTGTGCTACTGATGGCTTCTGCCTCATTGTTTCTAGGATCCATTAAAGGAACCAGCCTGTTCCTTAATGCTGTGTGTAAACAGGGAATCGCTTTGATTCACGTGAACCGGTGAACTGTTAAGCTATCTCCCTGAGAGTACGTCTCTGACAAACGTGTGTGCTCTACAATGCACTCCAGTTAACTCCTGGAGGTGGAAGCCTGAAGAGTTGTTATGAAAGCTGCTTCCCCCTGAGCTGTAGGTATAAGGAATGTGCTAAAACAACAGTCAACTTTCAGAGAATTGAATGTCTGTTTAAATAGCTTCCCAACCACCAGCTCCCCTCTGGGAAGAAAGGATACCTTCTTATCTAGCCAGAGTCTCTTTCATCTTCTAATTTTGCCAAGGAAAGGTCAAGGCTGGGAAGAAGTTTTGTAACTTGGCTGAAGCCCGAGGGAGGATCCTCACAGGCAGTACCTGGGTCCATTGTCTCCTAACAATTCTGAGGGGTTTATCGATGCTGTCTTCCACTAAATGGTTTTACTGCCTTTGTGTCTCCTTCAAATCCCACACTGAACTCAGTCAGCTTAGTGGGATGTTACTGTAGGCATAGCAGCGGCAATTTACAGCATTCCTTGTGGGGTAGCTCCATGCCTCTGACAGACAGGACCCCTGATAACCTGGGACTGAAGTGACTTGGTAGCTGAAAAGAGATGGGGAAACCATGCCTGGCTTTAGAAAAAAGGAGGGAAACAGTGTTGTACTCTGGAGCAATCTATTAGTGAATCGAGAATAAGCAATAATTGATTCCCCCAGAAGATATTCTTGTTTTAGGTATCTCTAACTTGGTTGTTGTTCAGAGACCAGAATTGGACTGCTGGCTTCCACATGCAATCTTTGGGAGAGGAAAACACCTCTGGGGCAAGGTAGCACACCTCCGTCGGCTCAGCAAATTCTGTGATAATTGTACGCCCTCTTCCCTGCCTCTCCTGGCCGCTGATATGTCACCTGGCAAGCACTGTTCCAAGGGCAGGGAAGGCCACCTTTAAAAGATACCTTGGCAAGACTTGCAGAGTTTGTTGCACTAATGAGGCTGCAATTAAATTGGAATGGGGATGACAGACCTGTCTTGATCTAATCAGAAGGGCTATTTGCTGAAGATGGTGCATTGCTTTGTCAGAGCTGTAATTCAGTGTAGAGCAGTGACTCTTAGAAGAAAGCAGCCAGCTGTTGGCCTGCAGTATAGGCCAGATGAATATTCCAATTGAATATGAACTTAAAATTCATGTGGGAGATCTGATTTGAGAGGAGGGGGCAGATGTACAGACTAGCTGGCTTGGCTTTCTTCACAGAGGAGTATTTTTTTTTCATTCCGTGGTCTAATTGTTGCTGAAGGAATTCTAGCAGGTGAGTGGCAGCATCCTTACTCCTTTCTGCATGGTAGGAGTTTGGGGAACAAAGCATTGGCTTCTTGTCTGTGGAATACGTGAGAAATCTATAGGCTGTGCTACAGGCGTAGAGTGGGATAGCTTCACTCCTCTCCCTTCCTCTCCAAATGAAGCAAGAAACAAAAGGGGCAGACCCAGAGTTTATTGTAGCATCAGCTCCAGACTTGCCACACAGCAGTTTAAATGTCATCTTGAAATGACATTTCAAGGCGGGGGTGTATGCAGACAAATTCTTCTTCTTTGGTAGAGACTAATTGACTTGAAAGATCCAAATTTTAAAGATAGCCCTTTTGTGAAGTAAATATGACCGAAGTAGTGACATGGAACTAAGGAAACCCTCTTTTCACTAGGATGACTTCCAGGTTTAATGACAAATCTACGTATACCCTCCCATAATGCAGCTTCTTTTTTGCCTGAGTAATTGGAAATGTGAGTTGTGGCTGTTTGAGTTGCGTGTTTCTCTGGTCAGTGCTGGTGTGTTGACTTCATCTCAGAAGTACTTAAGGATCTGAAAGTCATACTGCCTTCCCTAGTGGTAGGAGCACTAACCCAGGTCTCCCATATGTTCTCACAGGGTATGAAAGAGTACGATACCCACCTCTGCACCTCTCAAATTTGTTTGGAGTTACCCAGCAGTTTTGAATTTCTATGGGAAATTTGGCCAAAAAAAAAAAAATCCCTTGTCAGAATGGATATCCATTTAACTGAAGAAGCTGTGGCTGAATGGGGCTTACCTCAAAATTAAAAGTATTCCTGTGGTCAAGTGTTAAGAAACATTAATTTCTGCAAACTTTTTTTTCCCCCTTGAGAGCTTTAGATGTTTGTATACAGGAATAGCATGATATAAGTGTTGAAACGTGTCTGTGTGTGTTTTTTGTTTGGGTGTTTTGGGGGTTTTTCTTGTGTGGTTTTTTTTTACTCCATCACTCACCCAGTTGTCTTTATCCCAGTTTTCTCCTTTCTCCTTTGTAAAACCAGTACACACAGATTTTTAGTCCCAACTTTCTTTCATGAGCATTGGAGTTATGCATGCCATTGTTACTCATTCAGGTCCAGAGTTACCATTGGAGGTTTTGCAGGCTAAAACCATACTAGGTTGGTGGGACGTATATTCTGCTGGGTCTTTTTCCTTTATTAAAAATAAGGGTTCGACTTTGTGCTTTCTTGATTTGCTAGCTGTGCTTTGTGTGTTTGTGTATGAGTCTGTTTTTGCTGTGACAAAGCCTGATAGGCTGTGGCTGAATCCCTCAGTCCTCAGGTATGAGCAGTGTCACATCCTGCAGTTTTAATTGCTATGCTCTGTACTGTCAGAACATTATACCTGAGGTTTGCAAGCTGTTTTACGTTCCTCCTCATAAGTGTGTGTTTGCCTGCCTGCCGGCTGCCTGTCAGGTTTGCTGTGCCTCTCCAGGTGGCTGAAGAAGCATTTGATTTATTTATCCTAGCTGTCTAGGAACAGTCTGCGGTGTCTTGGAGACCTTCTGTAAGGTGGTAGGGGTGTAGGAAGGCTGGCTCTCTTGAAGTTATTTTGAAACAAATTCTCCAGATGCTATATCCTCTGGGGTTGTCTTGAAAGGAAAAGCTAAAATTAATTGTAAGCTAGGCAGTCTTCACACCTGAAGTATTAGAGGGTGAGTTAAAAGTTCTGGTGTCTCTATAATGCAGCTCCTTTTAGTATTTCCTATGCGGAAGGTTGCCTTTTCTGTTCCCGTTGCCTTGTGAACTGTGAATACTTGGTAAGATTCCTAAATGTTAGAACATGCAAAAGATTGCTCTTGTTTGTATCTGAACAAGAAACAACCTTTCTGTTGTAGGTGTTTAGCTCAAAACTTACTGTTTCTTTCTTTCTTTGTCTTTGTTTTTGTAGACTGAGGTGCTCCTGATCAGCCAGATCTTTTGGGAATTTTTTAAAAAGAAACTTCTGTGGGTAAAAGATGTGCCATGGAATGGTAGCACCAAAGAGCAACACAGGATCGTCTCTTGCCTTGACTAGCCATGGGTTATTTCTTCTGCTAGTTATCTTTGGTACCTTTATCTTGGAAGCACAGGCCACAGGTAAGTGAAGCCTTTGCATATGCTGCAGGGAGGGGGAGATGTATAAGTATGGAGGTGGCCTTATATTTTTATGGGGAAGCTGGTGATGGTTGATGCATTTGTACACATCTTTCAGTACTCACGAGAAAAATTACATTGCTACTTGTTAAGCAGAGGGCAGTGTTTGAACTGAAAGTGTCTTGCATATTAGTAAATAAGTGCTTGTCCTTTACCCTGTCATTTTGATTCCCCCAGCTTTTTTCCCCTCCATTCTCATCCCTTCACAGCAGCTGGGGGCACTTGGACTGTCTCGAGAGCATGGACCACATTTTGGTTGAGTGAGATTCTCATGTAGACACTCTTATCTGTACGCCCTGTAGCAACTGCTCATGTGAAGTAGTTTTGGAAGCACAGAGTGTCTTCAGCTCTTTGCACAGCTGATGAATCTGTTCATTCTTTCCTTGTGTGCTATCTTCTGACACCTCAGCACCAGCTAACTGCACCCCTTTATTAGATCCTCTTTGCAGCTTGAGTTTTTCCCTCTCCCCTTTCCAACTTCTTGATGTTTATCTGATGGACAAGTGTTGTGAATAATGTAAATAGTGCAATGGGATGATATGTAAAATGTCAGCAGAGATGAGGAGATCTGCCTCTTAGAAATGAGTGGAAGAAGAAAATATACCAGATACTCACAAGGTAGTACATGGTGTGAAGTATGTGCTTGTTTACCCAGTATACCCTGAAATACATCTTTTCTCTCAGACCAGCCATGATGTAGTTCTTGTCTGTAGAGGGATGCCTGATCATCAGTGGCATGGGATGGAAGGGAATAACTTTGTGTGCTCTTGCACAGAACTTTGAAGGAGGTTAATCCCAAAAAGGCACTTACATTTGACTTCAGTAGCTGTTGCAATGTAGAACAATAACTTGCCTTTGAAAACAAAACCTCGATGTAACTCTAAAAAGTCCTATTTATTTGACATACCATGGCATCTGAAAATGTCCCATGATCAACGCTCCTCAACATCAGTGAAGCTTGAGTTGGCCTCTGTGTGGTAGAGCGGAATAAATATTAATTGCCAGATGCACTTAAGCCGAGGTGATCTTGTATGGAAAAGTCTGCTGGTGCTGGAAACTGCTGAGGAGGAGTTGATCTCCTTTTAGTATTTCTGGCTCTTCAAGTTGGAAGGGAGAGGCTGCTGAAATCAGATATCCCAGACCTTCTATGTCTTCCTGGCCCGATTTTGGCTTTGCAGGTAATGAGGGGTGCGGGACACACATGAGAGTGACAAATTGGCAAGAACAGATAGTGAAAGTGGAAAAGGGACAAGGTCTTTTTGGATCAGGTCTATCCTTGTTTTTTCCAGTCTTTCTGTTATTGGTGATAATGTCACTGCCTCATTTCAGATGTAGGCCTGTCAGATATGCCTCCCAGCCTGGGGCTGGAGTGCACCATCCCCATCTGAGACTCCCATTACACACTGCAGCACCTTCAACTGAGTCTGTAATCAGTATGCAAATGCCTTCTGCTGCATGGGCTGCTGGATGGGGAAAGGCAGCCACAATACTGGCAAGCCTTTTAGTATCACTTTTGAGGCATCCAGTCACATTAACAAAAACACTAGTTAAGCATGTCGGAAGACCCGAGAGTGGTTCTGCATTGTTTCCCTTTCTGTGTTCCTTTTGCTTCGGGACCTGAAACCAGCTGTGGTAAACTGATCAAGTCAGATCATCAGCTAAATAGGATTATAGTGGCTAGGCATGAACCATTTCCTGCAGGGGAAGTGAGAAAGTGAGTGCATGTGGAGGGGAGCTCAAGATCATAGCAGAGGGTAAGACGTGCAGGGGAAAAAGTCCTGGGGAGGGGGAAGGGCTCGCTGAGGAGCACTTCCATGTGCAGGTTTTCTGAGACTGGGAGGTAGCAACCCAACTGCCAATTGCTGGGAGGGATGGGGGTGCTCAGCGATGCATCATGGTCCCGGAGAGCTGCACCTGCAGCAGCATACCAGCCATGAGTAACATTAATGAGCAAGTCAGCCAAGGAGCAGAGAGCCAGATGGAGAAACAAAGAATACTGGCAAGGCACTTGGAAAATCATCTTTCCCTCATCTTTGTCCCCCAACCACCCCACCAATCCTCACTTTATTACTTTACATAGCAAAATCATTCAGAGTAGGCAGAGGAAAGTGATGTTAACATGAAGCAAGAGACTGTATTAAATCTCCTGGTGGTAATGCTTACCTTGAATTGCGGGGTCAATGTGACATGCTCGCAATTGCTACAAAAGCTGAAGAATGTTCTCATAGAAAAACAGACAAGCATGGAGACAATGGCTGGCTCAGCTCTGAGTGAGAAAGCAGAGCTTGTGATTCATATGTTTAAAACCATATGATGTATATTGTATTACAGTAATTTTGCTGTTTAGAAATTCTATTGCTTGAGTTCCAGGAGGCTTAGAGATATATTCATGTTCTGGGCAGGAATGTGCTCTCTTTGCCACGTGGTTAATGCAGAGGGCAGACTCATTTCCAGTCAGCAAGCATCTGGTCTGTCCTCTGGTAATAAATTGATTTTATTTATGCATGGATTTTTAAGAAAAATCTTCAGCACTTTGTCTCAAGCAATCTATCCAAATATCCTGGAGTGCCATGAGATGAGTATGATAAGTTGCTTAGTCACTAAGCACACTGCAGAATTTGGGGAAGCTGCTCTCTTTTCACAGGAAGATATCCATGAATATAAAAATAACCGCTGCACATATTTTAACACAAAACAAATGCAGCATTTGGTGATGGGCAAGCAATGAAGCTATGACAGAAGAGGAGAATTTATGGAAACTTCAGTGCTGTTCAGAAATATTTCTTGAGCTTTATCACTGTTGTACCTTTTTCCTTTTTTCCCGTCCAGCAAGTTCTCCAAGGTTAGTTGGGAGAAATAATGAAGGAATGAGCAGGTGAAGAGACTTAGAAAGCAAGGACCTGAGATGCTGAGGCTTAGTTCTTAATCTGCCTCTTCTGTTTTCTTTGAGGGTTTGTCTGGAATGTAACTAAAAGCCAGTTCGTAGTGCTTAGTAGATAGAGATGGGGAGTTTTTGAAGTGATGGAGAGGAGCAATAACAACCGTTTTGTCTGCTTTTCTACAGATAATGCTTCTCCATTCTTTCTTTGTTGCTGTGATTTCCCACCCCCAACCCCCATCTCTGGCCCTTAAGGTTATTCCCAAGCTCTCAAAGGCCTTGTGTTTATATCTCATTCACAATGGTCCTCCTGTCTGGCCAGGCTATTTTTGGAAGGATGACAGCGGATCAGATTAAGTTGTTCATTAAATTTTAACACGTAGTCTCTAAAATACTCTGAAAGCTTCCTATCGTTTGTGTTCCAAATGGTGTAATCTCTCTTGGATTCATAACCAGCTCTGTCGGAAACCTATCAAAACATAGGTTGCGCCTTTCATTATTGATAATAGCATCACCTGGTCCTGGGAAATGCAAGTAAAGGTGTTGGTAAAAGTATTAAACATCCTGAATTAAGCAAATATCAATACCCATAAAGGACAGAGTTTAAATATTAACCTTTAAAAATTAATAATAATGCAGGCTTGGTGAATCTAAGTCCATTTAGCTTTAGACACAGGCTGATTTTTGTTGACTGATCACACGTGAAATGCTATAAAGCTAGCTCTTTAATTTTTAGGATTGCCATTAAAATGATGAATTGAGCTTGAATAAACTGAAACGACTTCATTCCTGTGTGTTGTCTCTGACGCAAATGCAGCCAATCTGCTGCTTGCTGTTCTAAGGTCTTTTCAGTGCCAAGGTTATTCTGCACAGAAGCTCTTGGATACCGCTGGTATTTGTTTGCATTGCATAGAACAGCTTGTTAGAGTGCACTCCAGTCATTGAGCAGATTCAGACTTGTTCCTATTCTTTGGGAATCTGTGCAAAGCAGACGTTTCCTTTGTCTCTAATTATGCAGCTGAAAGGAAGGCGTTCATACAGCTAGGGATGAATTCAATGGTCATGAAAACAAGGACACTATAACATTGCATGGCCAGACAGAAATGTGGGGAGGTGTCATGAATGAGCAGAGGATCTTGATGCTAACCTGCATGTTTCATGTAAGTGTGCGTGCTTCAGGGTCAGCCCAAAGAAGTGTGTAGTTCTCCATGGAGAGAAGGGGGAGCAGTTTCAGGTGCAATTCCTCTTTCCAGTCACTTCGGAGAGCTTAGTAAGAGCAAAGTGGTACGGAAGAGCATGGTGAGGAGCTGCAGAATAATGTCCAGGCCGCAAAGGTGGCTAGGAAGCAAATGCAGATGGGCCCAGAATTAGACTATTCAAATAATATTCACACTGTTCCTACGCTGATCCAGGCAGTGCTATTTAAGCAACTGGCTCGAAGGGAGTAATAGGGATCTCAAGAAGCCACAGAACTTGTTTAATTTTAACCAGTTCTAATGGTTGAAGGATGAATTAAAGCAAGCATAATAGTAATCCTGCATTTTCCTTTTGTCTGTCCTAGGTTGGCTCAGCAAATCCAAAGGACCTGCATGTAAGTAGATTTATATTCACTGCTGTACTATGAGAAATGAGTGTGATGTCTTACTGGTTAATATAAGTGGCTATGAGCTAGGATTTCCATTATACTTTTGTTGTGTTGGATAGGCTGAGATCCATCTCTGTGCCCCATTTCCATTTTTGTCCCTTGTATTTGGGAAAGATGACTGCCCTCAGTTTGAGAGAGGGAGATCAACTTCATGTCTTTCACTGTGCTTGAAGGGATCTCTGTGCCTTCTATAGCATTTAACTTTAAATGACTTAAGAAAAACAAATAGAATAAATACTTCATTAAAACGCAGAGAGAGATGCTGCTTGTGAGAATTCTGAGAGGCTGCCAGAGAGGATTGGGAGGACAGGGAGAGCAAACTGAGGCAAGAAACCTTTTATTTCCTTTAATCAAGAAAAAGGTGAACATCTCATCACAGAGCATGACTCTGGATATATTCCATTGGATATTCCTACTTTTCATCTCCTGTGCTCAGAGGAAGTCTAAAATCTTTCCTGTGTGCATGTTATGGATGTACATAACTTTGGGAGGAATCGGGAAGCATATTTGGCTTCTGTATCTGTTCTAAATGTGTAAAATTTTGTGTAAATCTTTGCTGAACTCTGAAATTTGATCTGCTTAGTCTGAACTTTCCCCTCTCCTCCAAAAAAACGGAATACAGGGACAGAGTCCTGAGGGGAATGGATTCATAATGAAGTATTTAAAGGTGTGGGAGGGGGGTTTTACCACCTACCAAATTTTAGTCTTCAGAGAGTGGGAGATGGGAGAAGAGCTGATGGCATCCTCTGAATCCTGGATTTTTATCCAATGCCTGAATTTTACTCCTGGCAAGACTGGTATCACACACACCTAGTATTAAGGGGCCTTCAATTCTTGGCCACGGTTGCTAGCAGGAAAAAAAGCTACTTTAGGAAATAACTCAAGAGTTGTCCGGTCCAACTCACCTTAGCCTCTTGGGCTAGAATGAGAAAGATGGAAATTGTTAGGAGCTTCATTGTAGAGGGAAGCAGGAGGTGTGCTAAGTGGCATGGTTTGTTCTTCAAGAGAAAGTATTTGTGAACTTCAGTCCAGGTTCTGACTGGTGTCCCTTGATGACTGCTGCCCACTAAGTTGAAGGTACAGACTTGTCTATCTTCTTATGCAGCTTCCTTCTATCACTGAGTCCTTCCTCTTTATGTACTTGAGACAATCATTTGGGAAGAGTTTGGGTGTGTTCCTAGTGTCATGGGAAAAGTCCTGACAGCAGGACAGAAGAAAGTTTGCTTGCTATTGCTTTGTGCCAGTTGACAATTGGTTTGCTGCTTCTGTTCCTCTTGAGTCCTAAACTGGTTACCATTGCAGCTGAGGTATTATGTTTTTAGGATATGTTGAATGTTTTTATCTGTGCAACCCATGTCTGCCATTGCTTCTCCAGCGCCTATGTTTAACTGTAGCAGCACAAGCAGTTACCACCTCCTGGTTATGCTGCCAGCTATTACTGACTCTGCAGCAGGGATGGCAGAACAAGAAGTAAATTTGCTCTGGAACTATGGCGAACTTCAGCCTGGGCTGTTACTGCAAATACTGCTGGAATAGCTGGTGTGTGGTATGTAAAGCTGTGGAGTAGATACGTCCTCAGCATGCTTACGTGGGTGATAAGTGGGAAACAAGTGGTAGGGCAAGGTGGGTAGCTGTAGACTGTTGAGTCTTCAGCTTTTGTGGCTGAATCTGTCAAGGCCCTGTGTTAAAGCCAGCAATCTGTGTCTAGATGAGGACTGCTAAAACACTGCTGATAACAAGCTGCTGATAGTCAAGAGTGAAGGTAGGGCGCTGAAGGCACTTGAACAGGAAGCTCAAAAATGCTTGTACCTTCGTGAGGGTGGCTGGAACCCAGTGACAGGATTATGGCATTGTCTCAAGAGGTTGTACCTGCTTATCTGTGTGCACTGATCTGCATCTAAAAAAACATTTTCCTTTTAATGAACGAAACCTCTGGGGAGTGTTAGTCGTCTTCTGCAAGCAGGAATTCCCCTGAGGCTCTGCTTCTGCAGTATTGTATTGGCATTGGAGGACTGGCGAATTGCTTGCTTCCAGATGTCGTTGAAGGGATTTGAAGTAACCCCTTAGGTATGGGGCTGCTTAGATGAGTTATAGGATGTGCTAGGTGGATTGGGCTAGATGGGGCTTGTTGCTAAACTGTTGAAGAAAAAAAATGAGCTTTTTGGCCCAGCCTAGTACAGTGATCCTTGTATTATGGAAGGGGGAGGGGAACTCTTGGAGTTCCTGTGCTGAGAAGACTGCCTAATCTCAAGAGGGATGTTGTGGGGATGCTCCCTCACTACTTGGGTACCTTGGCCTGGCTGGTGCTGGATGGAGATGCCTCCTGTGTTCCTTCTCTATAGGGCCAATGCCGTGAATGCAAGGATAAGTGCATTTATCTGCTTGGCGAGGTAAGAAGCATTTCAGGGGAAGCAGAAGCCAAAGAATTGAACGGTAGGGTGTAACAAAAGAGCATCTTTAAATCCTGCGGGCTCAGCATTTTAGGTCTAGCCAGTCATCTTAATTCAATGGGGAAAATCTTTTCTTGTTTGAGAGCAGAAAGAAACATTGCTGCTGCTTTTGAGATACATCTTTTACTTTGTCAGTAAAGGGAGAAGCATGTCTGATTTGAAAAATGTTGCCCTGCTGTAGAGCGACATAAGCACCTCTGGTGGACGTTCTGTTGAGTTTTCAACCCACAGACAGGGAAGAAACACGGTAGGCCTGACACATGCAGAGTCATGACTAGAAAGCCAGAGGCTGCTGCTGCTTTTCTGGCTTGAAGGAACATTTTCTATGTCCTGAGAAAAAGACCAACATGGTGTATAGCGAGTTTCATGTCAGACATGCCCTTAGGCACCCAAAAAACTATGCATCAGAAAGAGAGTAAAACTGTTTTGTGATCTTACCAATTTTGTTGTTTAAGCAACTTTGCATTTTCTTCTGCTTCTTTTTCAGCAGAGATGTCAGCTGTTGAGACAACTGGTGAAGTTTTTCTGTTTTAGGTAGAACTAGAATATTTTGAAGGAAATGGAGCTATCTGGAGATTCTTCAGGCATCAAAAAGGACTAGAAGCAAATGGAGATTTGTAGGAAGGTGGCAGAATAGCTTGAAGGTGAATGAGGATCGGGGGAGAATAAGATTCTAGGAAGGAGAGGAGGGGGACAGAGAGGAGTGCAGCAAAACAGGAAGGTGAAGTTTTCCACAGGTGGAGTTGTGAAAAAGATCCTGATGGTTTAAAAAGCCAATTAGTGTCTTGGTGATTAAGTAGTGTAAGTCCTGAAAGAAGGTAGTGTTTTAGTTATGCAATCACATTAGAATGGTTGAGAATAGTATGGCCTTGGGAGGGAGGACTCTAGTAGAAATACACATATATATACACGTGTGTGTGTTTATTTTTTTTAATGGTTAGGTAAGAGTGTCTTGATGCAGGATATACCTTTACAACATCAGGCTTTTGAGGCTTTTCTATATGCAACAGGACTGACTAATGAGACACTGACAGAGAGTTTGAGGACTTGAGGGTTACAAAGTGTGTGTGCCCTCCAGCGACTGAAGCTTCAAGGCAGGAATCTCCCGAAGGTGGGAGCAGAGCAGGGTGAAGTTGTCAGTTACTGGAGCACTGGCTGTGTCTGCCTACAAGTGCTCTAACATCATGGCTGGGGATCTGGGGGGGGAGAGAAACTGTGAAAGACCATATAGCAACTGTGTGTGAAACAAGACATAGGGAGGAATTTCAAGTGGAAGTTTCTGCCATGTTTAGAGAAATACCTGTGACTTTCTCAGAAGGTTCTGCTTTTCTTAGTTTGTGTTCAGTTTTGTAGTTAAAAGCTGCTTTGCTCTTCTCCCCCATCCTGCATTTGTTTGGCTGCTACACCCACTGTAAAGGAACCCTTCCTGTAAACAAGATAAACCTATTAAAGCTGCTAGACCCTGGATCCTTGTCAACACCAAGGTATCACTCCTTGCTGATGGTGATGCTTTCCAGGTGGGGTCTGTGTGTCACTGTATAAGTTATATCAGAGTGGGTTAGGGACTTCTGGTGCTGCCTCTCTATTGTGGACCACCAGCATCCTGGAGGTTTATCTCCAGGAGACCTACCTGATGCTGAAGGGGCCTTTAGGAACATGCTTCTGGTGTGTCATACAAAAACCACACCTGTTGATTTATCCCTGGCTGGGAGGGGACAAGCGTGGGTTTTTAATGATGTTTCCCCTGGCCCATTCCACCCCTACCTTCAGAGCAGCAAACTTTGAAACTCAGAGTCCTGGTGATGCGCCTGCTGTGTAACCTGTCTCCAGTAGTTCAAGTGTTAGACCTGCTGACGTGCTTCTTGAAAAGGACCAGTACTGTCAGAGTTGTGCTGAGCCTCGCGTTATGCTGCAGCACATCTTTACTTCTCTTTAGCACAGGCAAAGGACCATAACTGTAATGCTCTGTATTATCCTAAAGCTAGTATTTCTTCCATTCTGTTGCTGGTTTTGCTTTCCCTAGCAAAAGTAATCTTTGAATGCTCCTGAAGAACAACTTTCAGGTTTCATTGTAAACACTTCCTTGGGTGTAACTGACTTAGGTTACAACATACTAAGAAAAGATAAAGGTTTTACCATTTGAGTGTTTAGGTTCAACCACCACTTTTGTTTCAACTGAGGAAATTATTCATTTTTAATACGTAAGCTGCAAAATCTGGACGTAGTCACAAGCTGCGATGAGTTTGCCTTTGAGCACAAGTCTTAGTAAAATCCATGAAGATGGCAAGTTTGTTTTTCCAATTGCATTCTTTTAGTCCTCCACTTCTTTTTCTTTCCCAACAAGCTAGTCTTGTTGCAAATGTTATTGCCAGTAGCCCAAAGCAGAAATGAGCCTTGCTGTGATGTAGAAATGTGATGTCCTTGAGCTAGCATAATTTTAACCTTCAGGCCTTCCCACTTTGAATCTCTTTATTTGCATTTACTTCTCAAATACTT